TTTATGTGCCTGCCTCCTCTGTGTTCCTGGCAGCTTGACTTAAGGAGCACTGTCATACTTCACCACACAGGAGAGATCCAGTTGGATATTCCAGAATACAGAGAAGCCCGTGATAGGCCTGCTCACTGCCTGGGTCATTGGGAAATGCTGCAGGCTTTGCTTGTGATTAGCTCAGTGACCAGGATCCTGCCATGACATCGTTTTGCTTTCACAGTCCTGTTTATTGCTATGTTCTCTGTGAGTCTCTTTCTTTAATCAGTTTGACCTCAGTAAAGTGGGAGCAGAACGTTATCGATTCTGCTAGCTCTGTCATGTCAAGGACGGCTCCAATACCTCTGTCTTTCCTGCTGGACCTTTTGCCTCAGAGGCTAGAAATGTTCCTGATCTGGTGACCAACAACCTGACCATGTAGGTTCTGGTCACCGTCTGTTAAAGCATTTCTGTTCCCCCATGCAATGCAGTCTAGATCACTTTCGGGTGTGCTTACTTCTTCCTTCTTCTTCAGAGTTTGTTTCAACTGATTGAGAGTGTCTTCTGGAGCTGGAAAAGATGAGGATTTTTCCTGTTTTGGTAAACTTCACCTCCTTTCTTGCTGTTGTTATTGCCCGTCATGTTCTAGTCAACTGTGTTTCTGTGCTCTTTGCATCCCAGCCTTTATAGACTTAAGGTGCTTGTCAGAGCATTGTGTTACAGATTCTGTTGGGTCCTCTGTTTGAATCTCTGGCTCTTATTTCTTCTTGTCCACAAACAGACTTTTCCTACTTACCCCCAGTCAGAAAGGGGGGAAATTCAGGCTTTTGTGTTTACCCTCTGCTTTTGCTAACTTCTTTCCTTTAGACACACTCCAGTACCTTCCAATACAGCACTAAAATTATACTTTAGAAAATCAACCTATTGATATTCTTTCCTGAATGTCACATTTTTATAGGCCATTTCTGTTACTTCACACCTTTGATTTCAGGAGGACTCTGTTGAGAAGTCCAGACCTTTTAGAAAATCTCAAACTGTTCATCTCCACTACTGGGTTTGCCTTTTCCCATGCAGTGACGGTCCAAACGGAGTATTGGCTGTCAGAGCTGTTAGGAAACTGCCAAGGAGATGGCTTTGGTGACTGTACTAAGAAATGTCTTGGTGCAGCATGTATCATGTAGATACCTAGAGCTCCTTTCATATTTTCACTACACCAAGTACGGTGACATCTGTGAAGTACTGAGGATCCAAATAGAGTAGTGCTATGAAAGACTCAAAGATCTGTTGCAAGAATTCATCTGAGCTTTGTTTTTCCTAAGGAAATCTTCACTTGAGAAAGTATTGATCAGTCTGAGAGAGTCCAGAAGATGAGAACCACCAACTATGTAGAAAACAGTTCCTGCAGGAAAAATTTCTTGGATTTGTATAGAGAAGACTGAGGATACCGTACCATTCTGAAACATGCTGCTTCAGAAGAAAGGGAATAAACTCTCTGTGTTTCATGGTAGAGAGGGCAGGGAGAAACGGGTTTAAATTACATCAGAGGAGTCTTGCTCGTGAGGGGTTTTAAGAGCAAGTTTATCTGGGATGTCTTAGGCATGTCTTAACACGGGGTAGTGGGCTGCGAGGCCTAAGGAAAGGCACCAGGGGAGAGGAGGGCTGCACAGCCAGGCTCAGTGCTGTTAGCTTGTGCCCCAGCAAAGACCTGCACATGGCTGTAAGAACTCGCTAGGCCGGGGCACAGGATAACACGCAAACCTAATTAGGAAGATTTCAGAATTTTGCTCGTTACCGCTATTCACCTTCATTGTGTATGTCACAACATACAGCTGGTGACAAAGTCAATTCACGAGCTTCTTCCACTTGGCCCCCAAGTTGCTGGCCTTTCATGACGGGGTTAAACAGAACAAAGCCTTCCAAAATTGCTGTTGATACTCATGTTGTTAAGACGGAGTAATTTCTCTGAACAGGTATAACATAGCCCCAGAAACAGTTGATCTGGCGCAACTGTGGAAGCAGGCATGAGTGGAGGGGACAGCAAGGAGCTCTGCATGGGCTTTGCCCTTAGAAGTGTAATGCATCATCACACCTTCATTGCATGGCACTGAGCCACCTCAGCAGTGGACAGGGTGGTGTCAGCTACCGCAGGTAGCTGAAGGTCTTTCAGCTGGTTCATGGGCACTGTGGGAATACTGACAGAAGCAGTTGTAGCTGAGGCTGTTGGGAGAAACTGCTACATCTCATCTAGGATGGGTTGACTTATAGATGCTCCTGTTCCTTTTCAGGCATCCTTTCGTATAATTTTCTTCTAACATAATCTCTCTGCGTAACTGAAATACAGCATAAATTATCCAACCCAACCAAGGTCAGGTAGACAGCTTTCTAAAGATAGTTCGGAATAATTTTGCTTTCATGGTTTGACGAAGATGAGTCAGTATTTGACTAAACTACAGAAGAGATTCTGTAGTGAAACGATGAAATGTTTCACCCTGTGTTGATCTAGTTAGAAGGTTTATAGTCTTTAAAGAGTCTGTGTCTTTTAAACCTCAGACAGCAGGTGTAGTAACAAACTAGAAAATTTTCAAATAAACTGCAAAATTCCATGATCTCACTTGTGGTGCTGCAGAACAGCTCTGTGACAGCACTGTGCATCCACAGAGCTGCCTTTTAGGCTTTGTGGGTAGCAGGTTTTACTCTGAGCACCATGCCAGTCCTGCTCATCAGTGACCAATTGTTAGTTGTTAGTCTGTGCACTGCTCTCTCCTCCTGCTTCACCACCACTGAAGGCAGACTGGATAGGAACCAGTATTTATGCTTGGGAGGAGGTTTTCTTGCCAAGCCACTCTTACTTTTTTTTTTTTTTCCCTTCTGAGCTTGCGTTTTCAGCAAGAGAAGTATAAAAATGCTTTTCTTAGCCCAAAATTAGTCTTTAAGCTGAGTCTTTTTGACTTGTTAAGAGTAGGTGAAAATTTGGGATACAGTAACTCTTACTAATTAACTTTTCATGCAGCTCAATTATGTAAATGCACAAGATGAACAAACGTTTTGAAACTGGTGGAAAACAGACACATAAGTTTTAAGCTCTTTGTGCATTTGTTTTGTGGAAGGGCTGGTGACTGGACAGCTGTTCTCCGAGTTCTGGACCACTGTTTTAGCAGAAAGCTTTGTTGTCTTTCTGTGAGCAAGATGAGGATTCATTTCTTAATACTGTCTTAATTGTATTTGGTTGCTGGGACAGTGGTGCTGTCAGACAGATACCAAGTTGTCACTGCCACAGTATAAACCTTGGGAATCCTTACACACCTCTGTTTCCTGAGACAAAAATTGCCACAGTCTTCCCAATGTTTCTTTCGCTGATTGCTGCCCTTCCCTACCCACCCTCTACCTAGACTCTCTCAGTGACTCCACCCTTTGATCACTGGTCTACTTGTCATGCCTCAGTCCCTCTCGCCAGTCTCTGACCTGATTCCGCCTGGCTTGTGTTGGAGCCCAAGCTGTTTCTTGTATGGCCAGTGTCGTTTTCAGAAGCTCTCCACCTAGAAATCAGATGCTGGTCCTTGAGCTTTTCTTCTTTCAATTTTGGTGTCTCAATGGAATGGCCCTTGTATGAGACTTAAATGTGTGATTCTGATCAGAGAATAAAATACAGGACTGATGCAGTTTTTGTTACCTTCGGTTTGTCTTGTCTCTGCGACTTATAGCTGGCAATAAGTTTTGCTTCCTTTGCAGGCTGAAAAAATATCTTTCCTTTACTAATCAGTGAACAAGATAGAATCCATCATAAAGGTTGACATCTGTCCGTTTACAGGTCAGCTCAACAGACAAGCTTCAAGTGTTTATGAATCTCCCTGTTGAGCTGGCAGTCACAGATCACCAAATGCTTTTAATGCCTTTAGGGAGGCACAGATCTTATGTCCACTGAAGAAACGAACAGACAGAAAAAAATCATCCTTTTTACCTCTTCACTCTAGTGGCACATTCACTATTGTTAGTATACAGCTGCTTCAAAGTCGCCTCCAGCTCTTGTTTTTACATAAGCTGCGAGAAGAACTTCCCGCGAGCAGTTTCCCACCTGCAGCGTGTCTCTGTGCAAAGCAGTGACTTCATTCAGCTCCCGTGTTTGAGCATCACCTCATCGGCAGTAACACAGTCAATCCTGGATGGGCGCTTCTGACTCATAACACAGGAGCAGAGCTGATCAGTGAGGTAGAGGGGGTGGGACTGGTGATGGGACTGGTCTCTTAGCTTTGGGAGGGATTAGCCTGTATTTCAGTTCATGCTGTTTACAGATGTTGTAGAAGAGGCAAAATTAAATTTTTGTTCTGATGATTTATTTTTTGGACAGAACAGCAGCAATGAAGTTCAAGTGGCTTTAATGCTTAAAAATAAAAAGTAAACCAACTCAACCTGGTATTCTCATTAAGATTCCACAATGTACTTGCAAACTTGTGAGTTCTTCTAGTGTATACTGTGTGCAGGGGTTTTGCCAAGTGGTTGGACATGTATCCAAAGACCCCTGTAGTTGAAATAATTTAGGACATTGCTAATGTGAATTTGGGTGAAGTCTGTAACTTGCTTAAGCTTTCACAGCCTGGCTAGTTTGGATTCTTACACTTCAGTATACCGAGCTGAATTGAAGCTGGCTTGTGGCCTAGGATTAGACAAGACGTTTGTTCCTGCTCCAAAGGGTGATATATTCTTAAGGCTGAGCAATTTTAAGTTGCAGTGCTGTTTAACTAGACTACAGTACTGTCAGCCAGAATAGGGTCCACTGTCACCCTTCCATAGCTGCATTGGCCGAAATCCAGCACATACCGCTTTTGAATACAGAATAGAAAAGTTTGTGATAGTTTATTTAAAAAAATACAACAACAACAAACCCCCCCCAACAATATTTATGTGTTTTTTTTTCTGATCGCAAAAACAGATACTGTAAGGAGAATCTTAAATGACATGAAATATATTTAATATACTCTTTACGTTCGAAGAAAATCTAGAAGCTATGAATTTGGTGTTTTATGTTCTTGCAGGATGTGTCTGGTCCGAATGAAGCAGGAGGGTCGCACAGGAAAATACATGTGTCGCTACATAGTTCACTGCATGTGGGAGGATGTTGAACAGCGTGGTAAGGTGATGGGGGTAAGTCACCTTTGGTGTTGATAATCTTGAGGGTTCACATCTTTCAATGCCTTTGTAACTTTGCATAGCTTAGAAGAATGCCTATGATTCAACCTGTAGCTGCTTGTTCATTTCTGCTTTAGCTTCAGCTGGTGTATGTTCCATGCATTCCCACAGCTGTACTGCCAGTGGTATTGAGCCCCTGACCTTGTTCCTGAAACTGCACCGTGGCCTGGATGAAGATACTGATTTGTCTGAAAGGAATTAATTTTCCACGTGGTTCACCATGTGATCGCAGAAACGGATGCTGCTATAACAGAATGGGCATCTGTGGATAGGAATAAGTAGCCAAAGTAGGGAGAAACGTGAGTGATGCCAAATGTGTAACCACAACTTAAGTAATTCCAGCAGAGCTTTGAGTTTTCTCTGTATCTAGGATGGTGAGTAAAAGGAAAGTTAAGGAACAAGGTTTTTATGTTAAGTTCCTCTACATGACTGTAACTAGTAATTAGTTTATTTTTCATTTTGGATTCTTAGTATACCTAGTCTTTTTCACAAAAGAAACATTGTAAGGAGGGAGAGTAGCTCCAAGGATAGTTCATTTGCAAGGCTGAAGGAAGAACAAGGTTGGATCTTTCTGGCCTATTCTGAGGAAGATTATGCTAGTTAGTTGCAACGGTCATTTCTGGCCTTAAAGTCTGTAAGTGCATTTCTCCAGCCCTGTGTGGCGATAGCCTTCAGAGAAGGCAGTGCAGGAGCAGTGGAAGTAGGAGATAGTTTTCATAACCCCAGTGTCAATGGTGGTGACAAGAGACCTGATACATTTAAGGATCCCCATGTTCAGGGCACTTCCAGTGGGAGAAGAGGGCTGGGAGAGATCTCCTGTGTTGTACAGTGATTTAACAGAGGTTTATCTGTGATTAAAATAAATTAAGACTGTTAGAGAAGTGACATATAGCAGTAATGGCGTATTGTCAAGCCTTAGTTGTCAGCTGTATTTGGAGAGGTGCTAGGGTATTCCTGTTGGTGACAAACAAGGGAGTTAACCACTGAGGTGGGATTTGGTATGCAATCACATTCTTAACTCAAGAAGTTTCTCTCTGATCTTTTAATTTGTATGTGGTTTTAGAACATGTTGATTCTGGTGTAACTTCAGTATTCCATCAGCAATGGCTTTTTTTCCTAGTTCTTGGGAATTTTGTAGCTTTACTATGTTGCAGCTTGCTTTTAAAGACAAGACATCCTCTTAATCTTCTTTTGGATTACATCTAAATTCAGGCATCTTAGAATTTCTTGCTACATTAATGGACTTACATTCCGATATGGGGATCTCCACTTTCCTGGTCAGATGCCATGAGGCAGTGTGAGTGAGCCCAGACAAATTAGATGATAGTACCAGAGAAAAAGATTGAATGAAATCGCTTATGCATTTTTGTCCTTATCCGATGCCTTTCATGTCATACCAGTAGTTGATTCTGCTTTCTATAGGAACTGGGGACAGCTCAGATCTTTGTTCTGGGTGTAAATTTAAGACTGCTTTTCTGGAAAAGCAAATTAAAAAACCCCAACAAACAAACCCAACCAGCCAAGCACCCCACCTCCCAAAGCCCCCCCAAATCTCTTCAGGGATCTTTTATTCCATCTCTGCACAGAGAGAATGCTGCTTTGGAACAGAAAATTATTTCTCTGTTTCTTTTAACCCTAATTTTGCCTTATATGAACTAACCTCAAATGCCATCTTGCAGTTTTCCTTGCAGGATTTGAAGCAGCAGCAAAGCTGTCTGTTTGCTACCCTTCCGAGCATGCAGAACGCAAAAGTGAAGCATAGTGTGAGTTAGACCTGTATCGAGATTCTTTTCAGTAAACTTTAAGGGAAAAACAGGTAGTGCTTACAGTCAGGCCTTTGTAAAGGGAAGCACAGGATTTCCATTTCTGAACTAAACTATTCCATTGCTCCGCAAAATTCCCCAAAGTGTAAAAAGAAACCACCAGTGTCCTTATGTTTTCATCCGATCTGGAGCCTCAAATGTTAATACATGCATATTATAGTGGTATGGTTGCTGTATGATGCAACTGTAAGGAGATCTTAAGTTGTTTGAGTGCCATTCATTCTCTGCCTTGGCAGGTTAGGCATCCTTTCAGTTTATTCTTGAGTTTAAATTTTGCAGTCTTTGTTTGTAATGATGATCGTGCAATGTAATAATAAGCGTGCTCAGTTTGCAATAATATGATTCCTATAATATACTTTTGACTGTAACCTGGTGTTAACATAGCTTTTATGTGGCAATAGCTGATGCTTAAACAAAGTATGTACACATTTAAAGGCTTGATCTCGAAAACACTTACATCTGTGTATATTTAATACAGTTTAGCTGCACAGAGGCCCATTGATTTTAATGAGAGTCCTTGTGAGAGAAAGTGAACTCTTGAGGTAACAGCGAACTAGCCCAGGCACTGAGGGTGTGTAAGAAAGCATAGTGAACTCTCCTAGGTTGTGAACCTGGAAATTAGGACTGTTCTCTTCCCCATCATGTTTGTGAAGGCATAGGGCTTTCATAACCTTTTAGTGAGGTTTGGTTTTTTCTTCACCTTTTAATTATTCCTAATCTTGCAGTCATTATTTTGTCAAGATGAATTAACTTTTTAGTCTCTTCTGGTAGTATTTATTGTATGTTAGATGAAAATAACTTATGCATTGATGTTTGAAGAGGTTAGCTGTTCCCTTGCTTTATTTTCCTTCCTCGGAGCTTAATATACCCCTTCACCCAGGTCCCGGCATGGGCAGTTCCTGTTTCTTCCATTCTTGTTCACTCTTCTTTGCTTACTTTCCTCCCCTTCACATAGATGCACCCTGATTGAACTCTTTCTCACATCTCAGCGTAGCAATTGCAAGGCATTTTATGTCATACGTAAAGGGCAGTTACCCTTGGTGTTAGGTTCTACTAATCTTGACATATTTATGCCTGATGGTTCTTTTAAAATGAAGCTGAAGTAATGACAAAGGGTTTGTGAGCTGGTTGAGGACTATGTGTAACACTTAACTTATTTTCAAGTAATTTAGTCCTGCAATCGGTGTCTGTTCTACCTCCAAAAGAAGATAGCTAAATATATCAAGATAAGAACAGTAGGTAAAAAGATGATGATATAAATGTTCCTCTGTTGATTCTTTCAGATTTCAGAATCTAAGCCTTTCTCAGAAGTTAAATAAAAAAAACCTTTACCAAATACTTTTGGGGCACTGAGTTATCATCTACATAGCTTCTAGGAGGTTAAGAAATTCTGTTCCCTGCTTTTTCTCTCGTGCAGGGTATCAAAGGTCAATATTTATCTCCAAGTGGTACATTCCTGTGTTGTGGTATAAGTGACTGAGCACCTGTATGAAGTTGCTAGTTGGATGCAATTAGTTTAACTTGTTGACAGACAAAGCTGTAGTTATTCAACTTGTTTCCATATCTAGCAACAATTCCAAGGCTTGATGCAGAAAATGGATACCATATTCCTGAATTGATATTGATGGTTTATTAAAATACACCATCCGCTCTTAAATATACGAGTTCATTGGAGCCGAAAGTGATAGAATGTAAAGCATTTTAACTACTAATTTACATCAGCTCAAACTCCAAATGGAGTTTGTATTATTTCAAAACCTGGTTGTTAAAATTGCTGAGATCTAAATCTCAGCTACAAAGTTGGGGGACCTGTTAGCCTGAGCTCCTTCAGCACTCCTGAATGTCGGCAAGAGTCAGAAACCAAAACCTTGACACAGCTGTAAAAACACACAGCCTGTGGCCTCAGCAAATTCTACTGGTGCAGGCATATTTCAGGTATAAATTTTACTCTGCTGTCCCTAGTACTAATGAAGTCAGTTTCTTTTGGTGGGTTTGCAGCCAGGTGTGTCCAGTTCTGTGGCTAACCAGTGCTCTTTACTTAATTTTTCCACTAGTGACATTTCTATCCAACTTTAAAAACAAACAGAAAAATTGGCTTGATGCAATGGCTCAAAGTGTTAATAGTAACATTAGGCTGGGTAAAAGACTTCCTTTCGATCCTACATTGCCAGAGATCTCCACCTTGTGGCTTGCAGTGACTAGATTTATACTGTGCAAACTGGCAGCTGCCTAATCAGTTCGTAAGGGGAATTCAGTCACTACTAGAAATTGCTGCTATTTGTCTTCTTAAGAGTTCTTTAGCAACCTGAATATTAACCTTACTGACCTGAGTATTGTGTTTTAGTAACTGTGTGTAGGTAAAAGCAGTTATTAGAAGTTCAAGTGTATTTTAATACCCTTAGGTGAAGCTGCAGTGTTGATCAGAAGGACGTGTAGATGCTGGAGTTCCCTGGAACGGGATTTCAGCTCATAATGGGACAACAGATGTGAGGTTAAAAAAAAAACCCAAACACTCTCCACCCTGCTCCCCACCCGCCAAACCCAAAAAACCAAACACCAAAAAAGCCCGACACCCGTTCCCTGCCTCCCTCCCCCAGGAACCCCATACTAATACCTCTGGGTGCAAATCGCATGCTGTCTCAGAAAGATCCATCAGGCTTTATTCAAATACCTGTGAATTGTTGTAGGTTCATTTTAATAGTGTTAGTCTTGTGTGTTGTGGCGGCATTCCGCTTCTGACATGACTAAGGTTTTTTTCAGTGCAAAATAACAGTTTATTTTATAACCATACATGGTCTAAAAGCTGCAAAAGAGATAAGAATAGGAGGGGCTGTCAAACCCAGCTTGCCAAACCTGTTTTAATTTATCTTAATCTCACTTTCCTGTTTTCCCACCAGACCACTTAGACCCCTGCCCCCTTTTTTTCCAGGAACACATCTAGGTGTCTTTTGAATTCGTTTATTGGCTCTGCTGTGTATAGCACAATACAGTCTTTGTTATACTTCTAGCTAGAGCTGTTTATATACAGTGACCCATAATTTGCTCTCAGTTACATTGGTAACATCTGAAGTAACACCATCAGAATCAATAACGTGGTTCACATCAGCGTAACTGAGAGCAGAAGTTCGCCCC